ACCTTTTTCGAACGAAACCTTTTTCGAACGAAACCTTTTTCGAACGAAACCTTTTCCGAAGGTAACCTTTTTCGAACGAAACCTTTTTCGAACGAAACCTTTTCCGAAGGTAACCTTTTTCGAACGAAACCTTTTTCGAACGAAACCTTTTTCGAACGAAACCTTTTCCGAAGGTAACCTTTTTCGAACGAAACCTTTTTCGAACGAAACCTTTTTCGAACGAAACCTTTTTCGAATGTAACCTTTTTCGAAGGTAACCTTTTTCGAACGAAACCTTTTTCGAAGGTAACCTTTTTCGAAGGTAACCTTTTTCGAAGGTAACCTTTTTCGAAGGTAACCTTTTTCGAAGGTAACCTTTTTCGAAGTGCTTGACCCATTTCCTTTGTTTGAATCGCTCCGTAATTAATGCTTCCTCCACGCGCTTAACAAATTAATAATTACCAATAGAATCTGAACATCCAACATAATCTAATCTAGGCCTAACACTACGCAATTCTAAAATATATAAACATTGACTTATACCTGACAAAATACCGATGTTGAATACACAGATTGTTAAAAATTGATGAATGCATCTTTGGCGTCAGTTGCACCTTGGAAGGGGTCAGGATAAGGATTTGGGATGGGACGGGGAGGGAAGGAATGGTGCCCCAACCACTTGTGTGGACGGTCTCAGGGGATTGAACGCTAATCTGCATGAAGCGAGACCGTCGCTCAACCGTCCAGCCCAAGTGGTTGGGTTTTGCATCTCGGAAGAGCATCACGCAAGGATTGTATATTTTAGTCAATTTCACCACAATAGAACACAATCTTGTGAGGTTATCTTGAGATGATTTCGGGGCTTTTTAGTGTCCCCACGGCCCGGTCCTCGACCAGGCCTCCACCCCCAGGAAGCAGCCCGTGACAGCTGACTAACACCCAGGTACCTATTTTACTGCTAGGTAACAGGGGCATAGGGTGAAAGAAACTCTGCCCCTTGTTTCTCGCCGGCGCCTGGGATCGAACCCAGGACCACAGGATTACAAGTCCCGCGTGCTGTCCGCTCGGCCGACCGGCTCCCTTGTGTTGTGTGTTGCAAAATGAGTGTATTGGAAAAATCACACATGTAGATTTTGATATATTTTAACCATTTGAGTTTGTTCCACCTTTCTAAGAACAGTCTTGTAGAACCATTTTGGCATGTCACAAGTACTTGGAAAGTTTACAAGGGAGAATGTGAATTGTTTTTTTTAAAGATAATTAAGTAAACACCTATAAACACCTTCGCTATTCTCTTTCTTACACACTCACACAATTGTTCTAACACACTCACACAATTGTTCTTACACACTCACACAATTGTTCTTACACACTCACACAATTGTTCTAACACACTCACACAATTGTTCTTACACACTCACACAATTGTTCTTACACACTCACACAATTGTTCTAACACACTCACACAATTGTTCTTACACACTCACACAATTGTTCTAACACACTCACACAATTGTTCTAACACACTCACACAATTGTTCTAACACACTCACACAATTGTTCTCACACACTCACACAATTGTTCTTACACACTCACACAATTGTTCTTACACACTCACACAATTGTTCTTACACACTCACACAATTGTTCTTACACACTCACACAATTGTTCTAACACACTCACACAATTGTTCTCACACACTCACACAATTGTTCTCACACACTCACACAATTGTTCTAACACACTCACACAATTGTTCTAACACACTCACACAATTGAACTGCATTTATGGCCTGAAAGTTGATGTCGCTAAATGAATATAATTAATGTGAACAGTCTCAAGCTCTTTGTTACCTTCTGATCAGGTTTGTAGCATAGTTAAGTCAGCATTGTTAACTAAGTTACCTGGCACCGGAATAGAGAGATAAGAAACGTAGGACATTTATTTTATTGAAAAAAATCCCCCAACAATGATGAATCTTCTCTGAAATCAGTATTTCCCATTTATAATATTTTTCCTGATTAACACGTCCTAAATGAGTGCAATAGAAAAAAATTTATATGAAATTAAAAACACCTGTTTACTGCAAGAACCTGCACCTGCTTCACACACACACACACACACACACACACACACACACACACACACACACACACACACACACATAGGGGCCTGGTAGCCTGGTGGATAGCGCGCAGGACTCGTAATTCTGTGACGCGGATTCGATTCCCGCACGAGGCAGAAACAAAGGGGGCAAAGTTTCTTTCACCCTGAATGCCCCTGTTACCTAGCAGTAAATAGATACCTGGGAGTTAGTCAGCTGTCACGGGCTGCTTCCTGGTGTGTGTGTGTGTGTGTGTGTGTGTGTGTGTGTGGTGGTGGGGGGGGGGGGGAAAGTAGTTAGTAAACAGTTGATTGACAGTTGAGAGGCGGGCCGAAAGAGCAAAGCTCAACCCCCGCAAAGACAACTAGGTGAATACACACACACACACACACACACACACACACACACACACACACACACACACACACACACACACACACACATAAAAAAACAATTGAGGGAGGGCTTTTTAATCACCAATATTGTATCAAATGTCAAGTAAGCGATGACAGCTCCAGTCCGAATGATAAAATGTGGTTTGGCTTCACCTTTTACCATTTTTGCGAGTTGAAGTGTCATGCAATTTGGAAATAAATATATAACATAATACAAAATGTCTAGCTTGCTTGTGTGAAGAATGCAACCGACGCATGTCAACATTGCCCTAATGCTCTTTAATCCAATCACCATCTCCCTTGTTAACGAATCAAAAACACTTTAAACAAGACTCGTAACTAATTTTATCTGAGCTTCTCTCGAACATTGGTGCTCGCTTCAATTCTTATGATCGTATCACATATCTGTAAATGCCTCGTTGAACAAAGATCAAAATGCTGGTTAGTCCAGCGGCCCAAACCCAGCAGTTTAGTAATGAAAAGCAACCCGTCCTCGACTCAAGTCCATTACATCCAGCGGTCGACCCCACAGACGCATTCATCAATTTTAACATGCTGTTCATTCAAAACGGGAATTTTCTCAAGTATAAATTAATAATATAATATATTAACATATTGTGCATATATAAGCATAGGATAGGTTAGGTGTTTAGGTTCTGTTGGCGATTATTTGTATTTGTAGTACGTGGGTGAAGCATTTACAGCGTTGTGATTCGAACACAAGTCGTCAGTGAAGCACTTGTTCCGGAAGTGTTCGAACGTCAGCAGTTGTGAGTCGTGTGTAAACCGTTTTTCATTCATAAACAGCTGGGGGGGTTGGCGGGTGGATGGAATCACTTTTGGGTCTTTGTTTGGAGGACGGGCTGGTACACACGACTCACAACTGCTGACGTTCGAACATATCCGGAACAAGTGTTTCACTGACGACTTGTGTTCGAACCACAACGCTGTAAATGCTTCACCCACGTACTACAAATACAAATAATCGCCAACAGAACCTAAACACTTAACCTAATCAAAGCTATGTCTAACTATACACATACATATGTGTTTATATAACTTATATATGAGAACAAACCAATACACAGTATGTTAAATTTGATAAATGCTTGTGGGGGGGGGGGGGGGGGGGTCGGCCGCAGTTTTAACGAGCCTCGCATGGGAAGGACAGTGTGCTGTTCTAATAGCAACTCTGTAAATGCTTCACTCACTGTAAATGTAAATAATTATCAACAATACCAAAACACCAAACTTAATATACACCTAACTATACATACACCTGTGATATATAACAATATGAATTTATATGACAAAAAAAACAACTATTTATAATACAGTTAACGTTAAAATTGATGACTGTGTCTCTGCGGACGGCCGCTGCTTTAACGAGCCTGGCCTGCGGACAATTTATGTAGAACGTATTTTTCATTCAGGAACAAGCGGGCAGTGGCTTGATTATTGAGATTTGGCCAATGTTTTTGAGATCATTCTCAATTATCCTTAGTTAGAATTTAAGAATAGAATTCGAGAAATTTTCAGATATTCTTAGCTGTGTGATTACGCACCTATGGAGTGGGCTATTCTTACAGGTCTAATGAAGACATTTTCGAAACGGTTCATCAGTTCATTCACCAATTTTCGAAATCAATTAATAAAATCATGATAGATTGAGACATAGACGAGGAAAAAGCGATAGAGATAGCTAACTTTCCCTCGCTCTATTGGCACATAAGATGTCATTACTTTACAACGGTAGCCATCATATTTCTTGCAATTAAAACTTGTTTTGCTGAAAAACAACAGAATTAAAAATCCTGCCATTCACGATGACCTGATTAGCATGGTATATCGCTTATATTTCAGGGGCAATATAAAATTAGCAGGACGAATAAATTATATATGGGTTGCTTTGAACCCATTGCACATAAGTTCGTGTTTTTTTCCCATCATAACAGACTTAATAAGATGAAAATTGGTTTTAAGACTTTCCACCATATCAGACTTAACTATATCTACTCCGAGCCCACACACACACACACACACACACGTAGTCTAATTACGAAGATACTCCCCAAACTCATTGACTCTTCCAGACTTTAAGTTGGTTTACTCAGCTCTTCCAGACTTTAAGTTGGTTTACTCAGCGTAAACCAACTTTACTTATACATGCCAACGCTTAAAGATGACCATTTGCTCCTTGAAGTTGCGCTCAAGGCATCGCTCTCGCTAATCTATAAGTTCCTTATTGAGTGAGATTTTTTTATTTATCTTGATACACACTAATAAAGTAGTACAAAGACGTGCAATAATTGGGGGTTTATAATCTGGATATAATTTAATAAAATTGTTTTGGTCTCTTTGTGTATGATAGTTTTGTCATCCCTGGCCTTAAATTGGCAAGAAGAAGATATAACAAGTTTTATATTTTTATGTTTTTTTAAAGTTATATAAAATATAACTTTACACACACACACACACACACACACACACACACACACACACACACACACACACACACACACACACACACACACACACACACACACACACACACACTATACGATGGCTTTCTATCAAATATATTAAGAACTACCTCACGCGAACAAGATAACCATTAATAATCGATTATTTAATAGAGTTTCACACATACGCTAATCTTGTATATGTAACTATACACCAAAATAATTATAGCACAGTATATACAAATATATCATATAGAAAAAGTATGACACGAATACTAAGTACGTTCAAAAACCGACTTAATTTTCTCACTGTTGGTGAGGCTAACGATTTGATCCTATTTTTGTAAGTTTATTTATAGAAAGTTTCTGTGAATGATTATTTTTTTTGTCACCTTGTAACATACTGATGATAGAGCGCCATCTTGTATGATTGATTGTACGCCATCTTCCACGCTGGAACCTTAAAGCATTTGCAGATATTAGTCTCCAAACTTGAGCTTACGAGACATTAGTTTTGAGTTCATAGCTTTGAGACTTTTTGCTTTAGCCTCCAAACTTGAGTTTAAGAGACATTAGTTTTGAGTTCATAGCTTTGAGACTTTTTGCTTTAGCCTCCAAACTTGAGTTTACGAGACATGAGTTTTGAGTTCATAGCTTTGAGACTTTTTGCTTTAGCCTCCAAACTTGAGCTTACGAGACATTAGTTTTGAGTTCATAGCTTTGAGACTTTTTGCTTTAGCCTCCAAACTTGAGTTTACGAGACATTAGTTTTGAGTTCATAGCTTTGAGACCTTTGCTTTGAAAGTTCTTAACTTTGTAAATTACTTGGTCATTAGTTTTTTTTAAATCAGAGTTTCGAAACTCCAACTGCGAGACATCTGCTTCAACACCACAAACTCGAAACATTTGCTTCGAAGAACGAAGCTAGTCGATAACTTTATTAATTGTCTGACATTTTAACCAACTATTTCTCTATGAATTTTAATTAGAGTCCGGGGTGCCATCTTTCAGAGAGTTGGCACTCACATGAAAATAAATCAGTGTCACTTTGGAATTAACACGCCATTGGCGCTTTGTAGATATTGATCATTGAGCAGTAGTACTTCCTTAGCACTGAGGAGTTAGTGGGAACATTGCAATCATCTGATGGATAGTGGTAATTGTGCCAGATGCATCTCTTGATCTCTTCTTCAGTCTCTATGCCATTGTAGACTGAGATCACAGAGCTCAGTCTCCTCTCGTGTATCAATATCACTTGTTATCTTTGTTATCTATAGATGGCATCTTGTATACATGATTTATGGAATGACTTTATGTTTGTGGTGTTGTGCTGACAGACGGGCGAGTCGGATATCGTCTCTCTCTAACAGTCTGGCCTTGATATCATATTATTTATGTAGCAGTCTGGGCTTGATATCGTATACAGTATGGCTTTTGGTCTATAGAGTTTGCTTAGCCCTGACAGTACCAAAAACGTTTGGTACTATGTTCTAATTATCGACATCACTGGAAACGTTCAGATAACAGCCTTAGGTTAGTACCATATTGTACGTTGTACCAACCTAATAGTTAAGGCAGTATTAGTTTACATTCTTCCATTGTGGGTAGTGTAAAGTAGCATTATACTTGGTTTCTGCCAGTATGTAGTTCATAGCTATAGTGCCATACTGTAGTCTGCTGTATTGGCGTCACTGTATTCCAGAGAACCCAGTGATGCTCTGGCACACTGTAACAATCTTAAGCTACATTACATAGCTTGCTGTAGCCATTATTAGGTGGTAGATCGTAGCATAGAGAATCCTTTGTTTAACGTCTTATGAATTTAATTAGTGCCACCTTCGAGTCAGTGACTAAGGTGATTATGAAAATACGAATGAATCCTTGACTTGCGACCTTAAAGAGTGCAATAGTGATTCTTCGGTGAGCGTGAGGAGACTAGGTTGACTATCGTCGTATTAAAGCTTATAAACACATTCCGGCAGCAGTATGGTCGAAGCCTCCGCTAGCTGCGAGTCGACGCGGAAGCCTCAGGGTCGCTCAGTAAGCTTCCCGTCGATCGGTCTGTGGGAAGAGAGGTTGGAGAGGGAACTCTTCCGGAAGGGCGGGGTGCTGTGGGGTGGTGGGCGGAGCGACGGTGACTGTGTTAGCGGTGGTGGGGTGGGCGGTGGCGGGGTGATAGGGCTGCAGGAGCGGCTGGTGGACGAGGTCGTGGTCGTAGCGGGCTGTGAGGGGCAAGGAGAGGTCGTCGACGGTGCGGGAGATGACCATGTGTCGACGCAGCCAGCACAGACCATGACATCGCCACGACCACCCGTGGAAATAGAGCACCAGCCATCCCTGTGGAGAGAATACAAGAGTCACTGCTGGGTTGCCCATGAGAGCACCACATGTGCTGGAGGTACGGAGCAAGAACATATGTGTAGCGACGGTACGTGTAGGTGTAGGTACAGGTGTAGGAACGGTATGTAAAGATTAAAGTGGAGTCTCACTGTACCAATATAAGCCTGGCATATGTGGTTCTCTGTGGACCACATCTAGTAGACAAGCATTTTCGTGCAAGTGACACACAGATGCCTCAATCTAGTTAGACTCGTTACAAAGTAAGGATAATGATAAATTATTCCAATGCAATGTCACACAAAAGAATTAAATCAAAATGAAAATAAATCGAAATCTGTGAAAATTCAATTTACCAATGCAATCGGAAACATTGAAAGGGAATTGTAACATATTTAGTACAGCGTGTGTTGTTATTATGTGAGACAGATGGCGCTGTTAAAAAAAAACACGTTTTTACCTGTCACAGGTATGGCATCTATATAGTAGGTATATAAAAACACGCATGTATTCGAATGGAACGTTGTTTCAAAATTTCAAAGCAATTGGTGAAGAACTTGTGGATATTACAGCGCGTGTTGCTCTTACGTCCAACAGATGGCGCTGTTTTTCAAAAAAATGTATGTTTTTTCCTGTCACAGGCGAGGCATGTATATAGTAGGTATATAAAAACACGCGCCTATTCGAATGCAACGTTGTTGTCAAAATTTCAAAGCAATCGGTAAAGAGGTTTCAAAGATTTCCCTCACATGAAAAACACATAAAAAACACATAAAAAAAAGTTTTTCAAAAAAGCATGTTTTTCCTGTCACAGACGTGACATCAATATAGTAAGTATATAAAAACCCGCTTGGATGCGATTTTTTGCAAAAATTTTCATTTTTTCCACTGTGTCAGTTTTCCTAAGTATTTTATACATCTCTGCCATGTCCCCACCTTCTTATCAATTCAGAGTCATTTCTTTATTATGCACCTCATACCCATTCCGTGGACGGTGGTGGAAAGGGGTTACAGATACCTCACCCTGGTCTCTTCCCTCTCACCAACCTCTCACCCTGGCCTCTCCCCTCTCACCAATCCTGACCTCTCACCAATCCTGACCTCTCACCAATCCTTCACCCTGCCCCCCCCCCAACACCTGAGTGTGTGCTCTCCCAAAACAAACAAACGTCAATTGCAATTCAGCTCTGACCAAATAAAACGGAAAAATATAACATTTGTATTTTTTTTGTCTCGAGTTTTTGTTCTTCATCTTATTGTTAAAGACAATGTTATTATTACATTTTAGGTAAATGAGACTCTTTGTCTGTCTGTCTGTCTGTCTGTCTGTCTCTCTGTCTCTCTCTCTCTCTCTCTCTCTCTCTCTCTCTCTCTCTCTCTCTCTCTCTCTCTCTCTCTCTCTCTCTCTCTCTCTCTCTCTCTCTCTCTCTCTCTCTCTCTCTCTCTCTCTCTCTCTCTCTCTCTCTCTCTCATGGCAGAGATGTCTCTGTCTCTCTCTCTCTCTCTCTCTCTCTCTCTCTCTCTCTCTCTCTCTCTGTCTCTCTCTCTCTCTCTCTCTCTCTCTCTCTCTCTCTCTCTCTCTCTCTCTGTCTCTCTGTCTGTCTCTCTCTCTCTCTGTCTCTCTGTCTCTCTGTCTCTCTCTCTCTCTCTCTCTCTCTCTCTCTCTCTCTCTCTCTCTCTCTCTCTCTCTCTCTCTCTCTCTCTCTCTCTCTCTCTCTCTCTCTCTCTCTCTCTCTCTCTCTCTCTCTCTCTCTGTCTCTCTGTCTCTCTGTCTCTCTCTCTCTCTCTCTCTCTCTCTCTCTCTCTCTCTCTCTCTCTCTCCTCTCTCTCTTCTCTCTGTCTCTCTGTCTCTCTGTCTCTCTCTCTCTCTCTCTCTCTCTCTCTCTCTCTCTCTCTCTCTCTCTCTCTCTCTCTCTCTCTCTCTCTCTCTCTCTCTCTCTCTGTCTCTCTGTCTCTCTCTCTCTCTCTGTCTCTGTCTCTCTGTCTCTCTCTCTGTCTCTCTGTCTCTCTCTCTCTCTCTCTCTCTCTCTCTCTCTCTCTCTCTCTCTCTCTCTCTCTCTCTCTCTCTCTCTCTCTCTCTCTCTGTCTCTCTGTCTCTCTCTCTCTCTCTCTCTCTCTCTCTCTCTCTCTCTCTCTCTCTCTCTGTCTCTCTGTCTCTCTGTCTCTCTGTCTCTCTCTCTGTCTCTCTGTCTCTCTCTCTCTCTCTCTCTCTCTCTCTCTCTCTCTCTCTCTCTCTCTCTCTCTCTCTCTGTCTCTCTCTCTCTGTCTCTCTGTCTCTCTGTCTCTCTGTCTCTCTGTCTCTCTCTCTCTCTCTCTCTCTCTCTCTCTCTCTCTCTCTCTCTCTCTCTCTCTCTCTCTCTCTCTCTCTCTCTCTCTCTCTGTCTCTCTGTCTCTCTGTCTCTCTGTCTCTCTCTCTCTCTCTCTCTCTCTCATTAGTGTACAAAATTCAAAATTACACCTAAGATATCATAAAAATACTTTAAATACTAGCTTTAGCTCGATCCCTTAGCTGACCATATTAACTCAAAAAGAATTCAATTTGGTATTTTATATTAATGAATTAAGCGAATAACTTATTTATTTCACATTTCTCTCCTAAGTCATGGTAAAAAATAAATATAACTAAACATTTATATTAGAAACAGAACATTATGTGAGGGGGAGAAGCCATGGCCGCTGCTTGGTATCGAAATTATAATTCTAGCCGTGTTGAGAATTTATTCACGGCCCGTGTTCTCATTGGCTATTCTCCCGGCGTGTTCCCATTGGTTTATTTGCAGACTTGGGATTAAAAAGAAATAGATTCTTTACCACGTAGGTATTGAATTGTGACTGAGCTTGATTCAGGGCACATATATATATATATATATATATATATATATATATATATATGTCGTACCTAGTAGCCAGAACGCACTTCTCGGCTTACTATGCAAGGCCCGATTTGCCTAATAAGCTAAGTTTTCCTGAATTAATATATTTTCTCTAATTTTTTTCTTATGAAATGATAAAGCTACCTATTTCATTATGTATGAGGTCAATTTTTTGTTTATTGGAGTTAAAATTAACGTAGATATATGACCGAACCTAACCAGCCCTACCTAACCTAACCTAACCTATCTTTATAGGTTAGGTTAGGTTAGGTAGCCGAAAAAGTTAGGTTAGGTTAGGTAGGTTAGGTAGTCGAAAAAAACATTAATTCATGAAAAACTTGGCTTATTAGGCAAATCGGGCCTTGCATAGTAGGCTGAGAAGTACGTTCTGGCTACTAGGTACGACATATATATATATATATATATATATATATATATATATATATATATATATATAATATATTATATATTATTAAATATGACCGAAAAAGTAAGATTAATAATTCTAACACGAATTTTCTCAATCTTTCGTACATTTCTTTTCACTGTTGGTGGTAATTCAAAAATCAATTCTTCAAAATTAATTTTTATTTCTAGTCTGACGCGACACTTGAGCGCGTTTCGTAAAACTTATTACATTTTCAAAGACTTTAGTTTACACATACACAACTGAATAGAACTTACACATCTCTGATTTGTTTATATCTACATTTGAGTGAGGTGGATGGGGTGAGGTGGTATTAATAGGGTATTAAATTCATCAATACAAGACAGAACACGAAACAATGGGTATTGAATAGAAGTGATTGTAGAAAGCCTATTGGTCCATATTTCTTGATGCTTCTATATTGGAGCGGAGTCTTGAGGTGGGTAGAATATAGTTGTGCATTAATTGGCTGTTGATTGCTGGTGTTGACTTTTTAATGTGTAGTGCCTCGCAAACGTCAAGCCGCCTGCTATCGCTGTATCTATCGATGATTTCTGTGTTGTTTACTAGAATTTCTCTGGCGATGGTTTGGTTGTGGGAAGAGATTATATGTTCCTTAATGGAGCCCTGTTGCTTATGCATCGTTAAACGCCTAGAAAGAGATGTTGTTGTCTTGCCTATATACTGGGTTTTTTTGGAGCTTACAGTCCCCAAGAGGGCATTTGAAGGCATAGACGACGTTGGTCTCTTTTAAAGCGTTCTGCTTTGTGTCTGGAGAGTTTCTCATGAGTAGGCTGGCCGTTTTTCTGGTTTTATAGTAAATCGTCAGTTGTATCCTCTGATTTTTGTCTGTAGGGATAACGTTTCTATTAACAATATCTTTCAGGACCCTTTCCTCCATTTTATGAGCTGTGGAAAAGAAGTTCCTGTAAAATAGTCTAATAGGGGGTATAGGTGTTGTGTTAGTTGTCTCTTCAGAGGTTGCATGGCGTTTCACTTTCCTTCTTATGATGTCTTCGACGAAACCAATGGAGAATTATTAATCTTACTTTTTCGGTCTTATTTAATAATATATGTCTACAGGAAAGACTGCTACCAAAATATACTAATATATTATATATATATATATATATATATATATATATATATATATATATAAACCATTGGAGAATTATTAATCTTACTTTTTCGGTCATATTTAATAATATATGTCTACAGGAAAGACTGCTACCAAAATATACTAATATATTATATATATATATATATATATATATATATATATATATATATATATATTAGATATATTATATATATATATATATAATATATTATATATATATGTATATATAATATATTATATATATATATATATATATATATATATATTATATATATATAAATATATTATATATATTATATATATAATATATTATATATATATATATATATATATATATATATATATATATATATATATATATATATATATATATATATATATATATGTCGTACCTAGTAGCCAGAACGCACTTCTCAGCCTACTATGCAAGGCCCGATTTGCCTAATAAGCCAAGTTTTCCTGAATTAATACATTTTCTCTAATTTTTTTCTTATGAAATGATAAAGCTACCCATTTCATTATGTATGAGGTCAATTTTTTTTTATTGGAGTTAAAATTGACGTAGATATATGACCGAACC